AGTGTAGCTAGTGCGATTGTGACTTTTTAATGCGTTATTGATGTCTATCGAAAGTACCTAAGCTATTTTTAGTCTAAAAATAAAAGTGGTGATTTAGAGGTGTTTTGTCAAAGCATCAAGGCGACTAACAGTAAAAAAGATAAAAGAATGCACTTAACGTGCGTTCATTACACGCGATCGGTGCATTTTGAAGCCATCAGGGAAGTTTATCAAGCTGTTTTTGCTGACATAGTACGTGGACAAATGGCATGGACTGTGTCAAAAAGTGATTTTTGGCCACTGGAATTGATTGGATGAAAAGTTCACAGAAATTTCTTAGAATTGACTGGAAGAATCCAGGTGACCTTTTGGATTTATGACTAAAAGCTCGAAAGTGAATTTCTGTGAACTTTTCATCCAATCAATTCCAGTGGTCAAAAATCACTTTTTGACGCAGTTCATGCCGTTTGTCCACGTACTAACAGTGTAGGAGAGAGAAATAGAAGAAAAAAGAATATTTTTGGTAAACGTGATCATTGTCAACTAAGAGGATAAATATAGTGCAATAATCAATTAGTGTTATTTTATTCGTTACAAAAAAAGACTCATGACTTCTTCATCGCTCGCAACTACTTGCACACAAAGTAATATAGCTGAAATAAGTTTTTATAAAGGTCTTGATCAACATATTGAATCAATGAATATTAGATATCATGAAAAATATCTAATTAAGGGATTAAGGTAAGAAGTCAAAGTTGCTTTTAGCAAAATTTGTTTTCTGGGCAAAATCTAGTTTTGTTCTGTTAAAGCTGGCCGGAATCGAAATAGTATACTCTTTAGCTGATAAAAAACCTGTTTTATGAATCGCTTTCCAATATTTTAAGTGCATCTCACATTGCAATATCTCATGGAGGACAGGACAAAACGTTTTCACAAAGATGTAGTCATTCATTTGTTCCTTGGATTGTTGTGGAAATTTTTTCCAAACAGTGTACATCGTGTCAGGTTCGAAAAATAAACAAACTGCATGTCGTAGCGAAACCAATTATCTCATTAGCAGTTTTAACTCGTCTGCAAATCGAATCAGTAGATATGCGAATGTGTCCACATCAAGTTTCAAATAAGGTTGTTTTTCAATGGAACTTACATTGTGTTGATTATTTCCGTAAATATTGTTGGACTTTTTTGTTGAAAAACCAGTGTTTTAGTGAAATGACTTTAAAACTGCGTGAAGTGCTTTTTTTGATTCAATCCACCTCGACTGCTGTATATTAATAACTGTCGAGTATTTGTTGCAAATGTTAATATTGAGTTGGAAAAATTATTTTCTGATATGTGTTTTGTACGAGATAGACCTCGACATCCTCAGTCACAAGATTGTACTGAATGCAGCAAAAGTGATACAAATAATATTTTCGATTGTTCTGATGAGTTCTTCAAATACAAGTTTCTAAAGTCATCCCCATATGTTTTATAAAAATAAAATTAAAATACTCTAAGAAATTTTTTCAGTTTACTTGCTTATCACATTGACTGAAGTCGAACGATATTATATCAAACTTTAAAGACAATGTCTTTTTGACTCTGCACGTTTTCTTTTCATCATTCAACAGAATCATGTCCTATATTAATGTATACTGTTATTTAAGGTGAGAGTGAAGCGGTGAAAAAAAAATCAAGAAAAAAATTTTCTTTCCTTCTGAATACAAAAAGAGCATAAGAACTAAGAGGATCAATTACTACGCAGACAAGTAACCACAGAGATGTGATCCGAGAGTAGAATTATGTTGGATCATGTTAACGATCTAATAAAAAAGTGCACACTCAATGGCATTTAGAAAGAGTCTTATATATGGCATAATCCTCATGGTTATCGGTTTAATAACTTTATACACTATTAGACCATTCAAAATTGATTTTCGAAACGTATTGTCAATAATAGGACAAAACTCAAGTAGTGAAAAAATGTCAATAACAGGACAAAACTCAAGTAGTAAAAAAACAGAATCTGACAAACAACAAAATATCTCTTGTTTAGTTGTATTACGTGAACGAAGTGGACGTCTAGGTAACAGAATGTTTATGTTTGCTAGTGCTATGGGCTTAGCTTTAACACATTCATGTCGATTGTACATTGATCAACCTATTATCAATGAACTTTTATCTTGGTTTCAACTTAATCTGCCAAAGAACATAACAATAAATAAAGAACATTATACCAATTTGTCACGTTTTATTCAACAAAAAAAGAATTTATGTACATACTTTCCAGAATTAATGAAACCATATGCAATCAAATATTTAGAATTAAGGGGATTTTGGCAAGCTCATGGACATTTTGTTAAATTCAAGAACGAAATACGAAAACAATTTACTTTTAAACCAACTATTGCTAAGAGGATAGCTTCGTTCTTCAAAACGTATATCTGTCAGCAAATAAATTGTACGTCTAATTATCTTGCAAAGAACGTAACGCAAGTTCAATTAAAATTAGATCTTCGTGACTCGCCGTACACATGGATTGGTATCCACATTCGACGAGGTGATTACTTGAGAGGACGACGAGTATCATCAATAAAGTTCATTATAGATGCAATGGATTATTTTATCGACAAGTATGGAAACAAAAGTCTATTTGTTATTACAAGTGACGATAAATCTTATTGTGCAAGAACGTTTCTCAATCGAACTAATGTTCTGATTACACCATCATCATTTTCACCTGCCGATGATCTTGCTACGTTGGCCGTGTGTGAACATACAATCGTTACTGTTGGCACCTTCGGTTGGTGGGGAGCCTTTCTTTCGGGTGGTGAAGCTATCTGTGATGTCAAATCCAGTCAAAATCCAACAGCAATCGATAATAATTGTGCTCGACAAGCATTTTTTCCAGAATGGTTCTCATATTTGAATAAAACATCCTGATAATTATTCAGAAATGCTGATCTATCCACAAGTATTATTTCGCATAAAACTTCGGTGGACTGCGGTTAAGTTTAAAACCGCGAGAAACTAGGCTTTATTAATGATCGAGTTTTTTTAGAAACTGCGTGACACCGATAAACAGTCATAAAACGCGTTTCTTCGCGTTCCCATAAGGAATTGCGGTCGTCCGTAACGTCTAGTTTTTTGCGGTCTGAAGCACAAATACGATCCATCTGGATATATTTGTTCAATTACGGTTCAATGTGTCGTTCTTCTGAATCGAATGTAACCGCGGTGCTGATTAGGCTAATTATGATTAGTTTAATTAACCTGTCAGACTTTTGATTTTCAGCAGTTTTCGGTCACCTTGAGAAAGATAGCAATTTTTTTGAAAAGAAAAAAAAACGAATCTGAGATAGGATGTAAAGTATCTGTGGTAAAATTCTCACATCGATCTGACCATTTTTTGAGGGGTCGTAATGTGACTGGATGAAAACTGGAGTTTTCCAGAAAACCCATAGAAGAATAAGTCAGAAAATTCTGGGCAAAAATACATCGATTTTCTTTTTCGATGTTCTATCTTTGGTATAAATTTCATCCTGATCAAACATCGGCTTTCAAGGGAGTGAAAAAAGAGGAGGGATAAACTAAAAAGGGATGCAGTTGGAATCTAACGTACAACGAGAGCTCAAGTCTTTTGGGTAATTCATGAAAACTTCGTCTATTTCTGACCAATACGAAACATGTTGTCACCCATTTCGGCTTACTTGTGTACCTATTAGACCTGCCCGACCCATATCGAAAAACGCAAAATGACAAATAATAACACATATATGCCTGTGGCAGAATTTTTGGATTACATTTCATTATACATACAGAATAATAGAAATTCCATTGTTCTTGGAAAAATTTGTCTTATCTGTTCAGAATTGAAATGTAAATGTGATATTGAATATTTACATTGTATGAATTATATAATCCCATACCGACTTCAAAGAACAATGAATATGTCAGCCCAATATAATTTTGCTTAATATGAATCGAAATGTGTAATCCAAAGTAAAGCTTTTTTTAATATTATTTATTGTTTATTTGTTCCAATAAGAAAACAGATTGATTTTATAATTCAGAAAAACAATAAATGAAGGAAAATTAAATTTTTAATACATCTTTTTGTTGTTTTATTTGATTTTCGTACTAGAGAACACACGCGTATCATAAAGTAGAATAAAGAAGCACGAGAAAAATAAATAATTACTAAGCATCAATGATGATGAAAGAATGTCATTTTTCATAACTTAATTGTGATAATACGTAGCTACACAGTGTTAGTACGCCATTTGACGTTAAGTTTATTAACGGGTAATAACTTTAGAACTGTAGAGATAATAACAACAGCTATTGTTAAATCCATTGTAATGGAATCGCTGCTAGAATGGGTTTAAAAGGAGTTACTGTTATTATCTCTATGGTTGTTCTTCTAGATGTTTCTTCTCTTTTCCAATATTTGAAAATATAATCTCTTTAATATATCTCGAAAAATTAATACTCTCATCAGTGTAGTTAAGCCATCTCATCCATATAAATCGCAGATGATACGTAAACCGATGGCATAGGCATGTTCAATGAGGTCTTGTTTAGGACTGCAAAAGTTACCAGTACTGCTTCGGCCGTTATCGACC